GCACTTTCTCGACACCATAAGGGGTGCGCAAAGGCTGGTCTCCAACCGCGGTTTTTATACGCCCCAGTCGTCCAGGCACAGCAGGCGTGCCATTGTCTCGACACCGCAAGGGGTGCGCAGGGGGTGGTCTCTCACCGCGGTTTCTATACGCCCCGGTCGTCCAGGGCACACCAGGCATGGCATACTATCGACACCATAGGGGGTGCGCAGGGGGTGGTTTCTCACCGCGGTCTCTATACGCCCCAGTCGTCCAGGCATAGCAGGCGTGGCACTTTCTCGACACCACAGGGGGTGCGCAGGGGGTGGTCTCTCACCGCGGTCTCTATACGCCCCAGTCGTCCAGGCACAGCATGCAGTGCACTTTCTCGACACCAATAAAGGGGGTGGCAGGGGGTGGTGTCTCACGCGGTCTCTATACGCCCCTGGGTGGGGGGGGGGGGGGGGTGACGGTCGTCCAGGCACAAGCATGCGTGCACTTTCTCGAACACCATAGAGTCAAAGGGGTGCGGTAAAGCTGGTCCTTCTCTCACTCGCCCTCCTCAAAACGGCCCGGGTCTCCGTGGCACACGCAAGCAAGGGCGTTGCACTTTTCCTCTACGCCGTGGGGTGGCGCAAGGGGTGGTCTCTCACCGCGGTCTCAATACGCCCCAGTCGTCCCAGGCACAGCAAGCGTGGCACTTTCTCGACACCGTAAAGGGGTTGCCCGCCAAGGGGGTGGTCTCTCACACCGCGGCCGCTATACGCCCCAGTCGTCCAGGTACAGCAGGCGTGGCACCTTCTCGACACTAAACGGGTGCGCAAGGGCTGGTCTCTCACCGCGGTCTCTATACGCCCCAGTCGTCCAGGCACAGCAGGCGTGCCACTGTCTCGACGCCGTCGGAGGTGCGCAGAAGGTGGTTTCTCACCGCGGCCTCTATACGCCCCGGTCGTCCAGGGCACACCAAGCATGGCATATTGTCGACACCATAAGGGGCTGCGCAGGGGGTGGTTTCTCATCGCGGTCTCTATACGCCCTGGTCGTCCAGGCACAGCAGGCGTGGCACTTTCTCGACACCATAGGGGGTGCGCAGGGGGGGGTCTCTCACACCGGTCTCTATACGCCCCAGTCGTCAAGGCATAGCAGGCGTTGCACTTTCTCGACACCATAAGGGGTGCACAGGGGGTGGTTTCTCACCGCGGTCTCTATACGCCCTGGTCGTCCAGGCACAGCAGGCGTGGCACTTTCTCGACACCATAAGTGGTGCGCGAGGGCTGGTCTCTCACCGCGGTCTCTATACGCCCCAGTCGTCCAGGCACAGCAGGCGTGGCACTTTCTCGACACCGTAGGGGGTGCGCAGGGGGTGGTGTCTCACCGCGGTTTCTATACGCCCCGGTCGTCCAGGCACAGCAGGCGTGGCACTTTCTCGACACCATAGGGGGTGCGCAGGGGGTGGAGGCTCGTTCAAAGCCCCAGGGCCGCCGGGAATCACTGCCGCGCCATGCCTTTCGTTGGTGCCGTGCCGTGCCGTGCCGTGCGCGGCCGTGCACTCCCGTGCTGTGCCGTTGCGCTGCCATGCCCTGCACTGCCGTGCCGCGCATTGCCTTTCAATTCTGCTTGAGGGCTCTTGGGGAGCACCAGCCTCCCCATGGCCACTTGCATGCCTGGCGCTACGGCGCCCACATGCAACGCCCTGGCCGGCGGCAGCTGCGATTTCGAGTTACAAGTTACAAGTTCTCCCGTTCTCTCCCGCCCCTCCTTACCCTCCCTCCATTCCTTCCTTTCCTCTCCCGAGGATGCGGAGGAGTTGATGCAGGGAGTTGAGAGGAGCGCGGAGGAGTTGAGAAGAGGAAGAGTTGAGAGGAGTGCGAAGGTGTTGGGAGGAGTGCCACGCACTCCTCCGCGAGAAGGCGTGGCACTTTCTCGACGTCATAGGGGGTGCGCAGGGGGTGGTCCCTCACCGCGGCTGCTATGCACGACGGTCGTCCAGGGCATAGCAGGCGCGGCATTTTCTCGACACCATGGAGGCTGCGTAGGGGGTGGTCCCTCACCGCGGCCGCTATGCACGACGGTCGTCCGAGTCGTCCAGGGCATAGCAGGCGTGGCACTTTCTCGACACCATAGAGGCTGCGCAGGGGGTGGTCCCTCACCGCGGCCGCTGGCTGGCTCGAATCTGTCCTCGACGGAGGATAGAAGGCTAGGAAGAGGGAGGAGGTTCAAGCAATATGGCGTTGGATGACACATAGGGGAACATTCGCGACGAGGGCTGAGAACGCAGAATTGCGCATAGATTATAAACTTCAGCAAAAACACAAGATTTAAGCTAAGTATGTGGGGTTCCTCGGTAGCGTAATCGCCATCGCAACGAAGCACTAAATTGCTAGTTCTGAGGCCTGGGCGGAGGAGCGTGGTGAGACAGGCGAACGACTGCGTGAGGAAGCCGGCGGACTGCGATTCCCGCTTGACCTAGGCGATGCTCCGATCCCGCTTGACCTAGGGGATTCTTCGGTCGATCCAGCACGTGACAAGCTGCGCGCCGGCGTGGGGCCGCCGCTCGGCAGAGGGTTGCGCCTTGGGGACGCTCCCGGCGCTTCCCATATAACGTCCTCAGGCGTCCCGTGCTCGAGATCATTTCGGGGCTCGGACTTCTGGTGCTGGCGGTTCCTTAAGTAAAATAAGGCCTGAATGCAACAACACAGAACCGTGACCGCACCAGCTGTAATGCCAATGATCAAAAAATCGATGCTCTCCGTTTTCTCCGTGTCGGCAATGAGTTGTGCCACTGCTGATGTCGTTGCTGATGTCGTTGCTGTGGTTGATGTCGTCTGGGTGTTGGTGATTAGCACTATGCTGGGCTCTCCGTGTACGAGGACACTGGAATTTGACACGAGTGTCAGGCCCTCTAATGACATGGCGGCCAGCATGAGGCTATAAAAATCTTCAGCTACCTCCAAGTTCTCTCCCGTAGTCGCGTTTACTCTCGCATATAGCTCTGTCCCTAGGTTGTATGCCGAGATGGCGACATATTCACTTACAGTTATCGTCCAATCGACCTGCCAATACGTGACTGAGCTGGTGAGCTCCCGGTCCGACATGAGCCGTCGCGAGTTGGGCGTGAAAACCGAGGCAACACAGGTCACAGTACTTTGGGGCACGTTCCGAGATGCAGCAAGTGCAGCCACCGACGCACTTTCCACCTGCTCTGCAGAGCCTGTGCTTTCGAACCACATAGCGCCATCAACAGAAAATAATCGCGTAGTGGTGCTTGTCTGTGTCGTGACGGTGATGGTGGTAGTTGCGCCGAGAGGGGTGGTGGTGGTGATAGTGGTGTCTGTGGTGGTGGTGGTCATTGTGCTGGTAGCGGTGCCAGTAGACACAGTACTGGTGCTGGTCAACGTGCTGGTGCTGGTCAAGGTAGGCGGTGCTGGCGTCGGCGCGGGCGTTGGTGCTGGCGTCGGCGCTGGCGTTGGTGCTGGCGTCGGCGCTGGCGTCGGCGCGGGCGTTGGTGCTGGCGTAGGCGCTGGGGTTGGCGCCGGCGTAGGCGCTGGCGTGGGCGCGGGCGTGGGCGGTGCTGGCGTCGGCGCTGGCGTTGGTGCAGGCGTGGGTGCTGGCGTAGGTGCTGGCGTCGGCGCTGGCGTCGGCGCGGGCGTTGGTGCTGGCGTAGGCGCGGGCGTAGGCGCCGGCGTCGGCGCTGTGGTTGGAGCTGGCGTAGGCGGTGCTGGCGTCGGCGCTGGCGTTGGTGCAGGCGTGGGCACTGGCGTTGGTGCTGGCGTCGGTGCTGGCGTCGGCGCGGGCGTTGGTGCTGTCGTTGGCGCGGGCGTAGGCGCCGGCGGAATGCGCGCGGGTTTGCCGTTGGGCCTGGTACTGGCGTCTGCGCTGGAATTGGTGCTGGCGTAGGCGCCGCGTTGGTGCAGCTGTCGTAGGCCCGCGTCGAAGGCGGCGTTAGAGCTGGCGTAGGTGCGGGCTAGCGCTGGCGTAGGCGCGGCGTTGGGCAGGCGTATGGCGGCGCTGGCGTCGCGCTGGCCGTTTGGTGCAGGCGTGGGCGCTGGCGTTGGTGCTTGGCGTTGGTGCTCTGGCGTAGGTGCGCCCGGCGTTTGTGCTGGCGTAGGCGCGGGGCGGAGGCGCCGGGCGTAGGCGCGGGCGATGAGCTGGCGTAGGGCCTGTGCTGGCGTCGTGTCTGGCGTTTGTCAGGCGTGGGTCCTGGCGTAGGTGCTGCGTCGGTGCTGGCTCGCGCTGGCGTTGGTGCTGGCGTAAGGCGCTGGGGTTGGCGCTGGCGTCCGGCGCAGGGGTTGGAGCTGGCTGTAAGGCGGTGCTGGCGTTCGGGCGCTGGCGTTTGGTGTCAGGCGTGGGCCTGGCGTTGGTGCCGGCTGGTGCTGGCGTTCGGCGCGGGCGTTGGTGCTGGCGTAGGCGCGGGCGTAGGCGCCGGCGTAGGCGCGGGCGTTGGAGCTGGCGTAGGCGGTGCTGGCGTCGGCGCTGGCGTTGGCGCAGGCGTGGGCGCTAGCGTAGGTGCTGACGTCGGTGTTGGCGTCGGCGCCGGCGTTGGTGCTGGCGTAGGCGCGGGCGTCGGCGCGAGCGTTGGTGCTGGCGTCGGCGCTGGCGTTGGTGCTGGCGTCGGCGCGGGGGTTGGTGCTGGCGTAGGCGTGCTGCGTGGGTGGCCAGCGTTGGTGCAGCGTGGGCGCTGGCGTAGGTGCTGGCGTCGGTGCTTGCGTCGGCGCTGGCGTTGGTGCTGGCGTAGGCGCTGGAGTGGCGCTGGGCGTCGGCGCTGGCGTTGAGCTGCGTAGGCGGTGCTGGGCGTCGGCGCTGCGTTTGGTGCAGGCGTGGGCCGCTGGGCGTTGGTCACGGCGTTGGTGGCTGGCGTCGGCGCGGGCGTTGGTGCCAGCGTAAGGCGCGGGCGTAGCTCGGCGTAGGCGCGGGCGTTGGACTGGCGCAGGCGGTGCTTGGCGTCGCGACTGGCGTTGGTGCTAAGGCGTAGGCCCGGCGTTGTTGCTGGCGTAGGCCCCGGCGTCGGCGCGGGCGTTGGTGCTGGCGTAGGCGCGGGCGTAGGCACTGGCGTAGGCGCGGGCGTTGGAGCTGGCGTAGGCGGCGCTGGCGTCGGCGCTGGCGTTGGTGCAGGCGTGGGCGCTGGCGTTGGTGCTGGCGTTGGTGCTGGCGTAGGCGCCGGCGTTGGTGCTGGCGTAGGCGCGGGCGTAGGCGCCGGCGTAGGCGCGGGCGATGGAGCTGGCGTAGGCGGTGCTGGCGTCGGCGCTGGCGTTGGTGCAGGCGTGGGCGCTGGCGTAGGTGCTGGCGTCGGTGCTGGCGTCGGCGCTGGCGTTGGTGCTGGCGTAGGCGCTGGGGTGGGCGCTGGCGTCGGCGCTGGGGTTGGAGATGGCGTAGGCGGTGCTGGCGTCGGCGCTGGCGTTGGTGCAGGCGTGGGCGCTGCGTCGGTGCCTAGGCGTCGGCGCTGGCGATTGGTGCTGGGCGTAGGCGCTGGGGGGCGCTGCGTCGGCGCTGGCGTTTGGTGGCCAGGCGTGGGCCCTGGCGCGGTGCTGGCGTCGGTGCTGGCGTCGGCGCAGGCGTTGTGCTGGCTAGACGGCTGGGCGTAGGCGCCGGCGTAGGCGCGGGCGTTGGAGGCTGCGTAGGCGGTGCGGGCGTCCCGGCGCTTGGCGTTGGTGCAGGTGGGCGCTGGCGTAGGTGCGGGGGACGATGTACGTGTTTCGTGGGCCGCTGCGATGGTGCTGGCGTAGGCGCCGGCGTCGGCGTCTGAGGCGTTGGATGCTGGCGCGGCGCTGGCGTTGTGCTGGCGTAGGTGCTGGCGGTTGGTGATGCGTAAGCGCTGGGTTGGTGCTTGGCGTAGGGGTTCTCTGGCGTAAGGCGCTGGCGTCAGCGCCGGCGTTGGCGCTGGGCGTAGGTGCTGGCGTTTCGTGCTGAGTCGGCGATGGGTTGGTGCTGGCCGTAGCGCTGGCGTTGGTGCTGCGAGAGTGTCCCTTAGGTGTGCAGGCGTAGGCGGGTGCTGCGTCGGCGCTGGCGTTGGTGCTGGCGTAGGCGCTGGCGTTGGTGCTTGGCTTAGGCCGCTGGGTTGGCGCTGGCGTCGGGCGCTGGGGTTGGTGCTGGCGTAGGCGGAGCTGCGTCGCACTGGGCGTGTTGTGCAGAGCGTGGGCGCTGGCTTGGTGATGGCGTCGGTGCTGGCGTCGGCGCTGGCGTTTGGTGCTGGCGTAGGCGCTGGGGTGGGCGCTGGCGTCCGGCGCTGGCCGTTGATCTGGCGTAGGGCGGTGCTGGCGGTCGGCGCTGGCGTTGGTGCAGGCGTGGGCGCTGGCGTTGGTGCTGGCGTTGGTGCTGGCGTCGGCGCGGGCGTTGGTGCCTGCGTAGGCGCGGGCGTAGGCGCGGGCGTAGGCGCGGGCGTTGGAGCTGGCGTAGGCGGTGCTGGCGTCGGCGCTGGCGTTGGTGCAGGCGTGGGCGCTGGCGTAGGTGCGGGGGTCGGTGCTGGCGTGGGCGCTGGCGTTGGTGCTGGCGTAGGCGCCGGCGTCGGCGCTGGCGTTGGTGCTGGCGTAGGCGCCGGCGTTGGTGCTGGCGTAGGCGCTGGCGTTGGTGCTGGCGTAGGCGCTGGGGTTGGTGCTGGCGTAGGCGGTACTGGCGTAGGCGCTGGCGTTGGAGCAGGCGTGGGCGCTGGCGTAGGTGCTGGCGTTGGCGCTGGAGTCGGCGATGGGGTTGGTGCTGGCGTAGGCGCTGGCGTTGGTGCTGGCGTAGGGGCTGGGGTTGGTGCTGGCGTAGGCGGTGCTGGCGTCGGCGCTGGCGTCGGCGCGGGCGTCGGCGCGGGCGTTGGTGCTGGCGTAGGCGCTGGGGTTGGCGCTGGCGTCGGCGCTGGGGTTGGTGCTGGCGTAGGCGGTGCTGGCGTCGGCGCTGGCGTTGGTGCTGGCGTGGGCGCTGGCGTAGGTGCTGGCGTCGGTGCTGGCGTCGGCGCCGGCGTTGGTGCTGGCGTAGGCGCTGGGGTTGGCGCTGGCGTCGGCGCTGGCGTTGCCGGCGTTGGTGCTGGGGTCGGCGCAGGCGTTGGCGTGGGCGTAGGCGCCGGCGTAGGCGCTGGGGTTGGGGCTGGCGTCGGCGCCGGCGTTGGTGCTGGCGTAGGCGCGGGCGTTGGTGCCGGCGTGGGCGCGGGCGTCGGCGCGGGCGTAGGCGCCGGCGTCGGCGCTGGCGTAGGTGCTGGCGTCGGCGCTGGCGTAGGCGCGGTCGTTGGTGCTGGCGTAGGCGCTGAGGTAGGCGCCTGTGTTGGTGCCGGCGTCGGAGCTGGCGTGGGCGGTGCTGGCGTCGGCGCTGGCGTTGGTGCAGACGTAGGCGCCAGCGTAGGTGCTGGCGTCGGTGCTGGCGTCGGCGCGGGCGTTGGTGCTGGCGTAGGCGCTGGCGTGGGCGCCGGCGTAGGCGCTGGCGTTGGAGCTGGCGTAGGCGGTGCTGGCGTCGGCGCTGGAGTTGGTGCAGGCGTGGGCGCTAGGGTAGGTGCTGGGGTCGGTGCTGGCGTCGGCGCGGGCGTTGGCGCTGGCGTCGGCGCTGGCGTAGGCGCCGGCGTAGGTGTTGGCGTGGGCGCAGGCGTAGGCGCGGGCGTAGGCGCCGGCGTAGGCGCTGGCGTTGGTGCTGGCGTGGGTGCTGGGGTCGGCGCGGGCGTAGGCGCTGGCGTTGGCGCGGGCGTAGGCGCTGGGGTCGGTGCTGGCGTCGGCGCTGGCGTTGGTGCTGGCGTAGGCGCGGGCGTAGGCGCCGGCGTAGGCGCTGGGGTCGGTGCTGGCGTCGGCGCCGGCGTAGGTGCCGGCGTGGGCGCTGGCGTTGGCGCCGGCGTAGGCACTGGGGTTGGTGCTGGCGTAGGCGCTGGCGTTGGTGCAGGCGTAGGCGCTGGCGTAGGTGCTGGCGTCGGCGCGGGCGTGGGCGCGGGCGTCGGCGTGCCCCGCAGACCAGTCCGCGCCACGGCCGCCTCGCCAAGTGAGGTAGCAGAGGGCCACTTCGTCTCCACCTTCGCGTTGCCATCCTCGGCTGATGCCTTGGTGGCGTCCGCGCCGCCAACGCCAAGTGAGAGCAGGGCGATGGTGCCCAAAGACAGCTTCACGAGCGTCAGGACAAAATGTTGACGCACATGCGTGGCCATGCGCGCCGAGGCTGGCCGCAGACCATCTGCCATCTGGCAGTTGCGGCAGATGTCGATCAGGGGAAACGACCAAGGATAGTCGAGCAGCTTTGGCACCCCAAGTGCACAGCGACAGCAGCGCAGCCTTGAGCCCACGAGTGCTGGAAACACACGGTTGGGGGCGCAGGCTGGCTAATGCATTCTTCAGCGATCACCAGGTTTTCCGGTGTGTGTGTGGGGGGGGGGCGCGGCCGGCCGATGACCTCACCTTTTTGTCTCGGGCAGCTCCACGTCTGCCCGCGCGCACCAATGACCACTGCCTGTCCTCACCCTCCTCGGGCCTGCGCAATCGACGGGGCCAAGTTGTCTGGGAGAGGGGCGGGCGGGCAGGCCCGACAACCCAGGTGATCGCCAGACCCAGAAAAACAATCTCCAAAACATCAGCCGTGGGGAAACCAAAAAGCACCGATACCACTACCCCCTGGACCTCTCCCGGGGTGCGCTCTGGCGAAAATTTCGAAGCGAATCCAGCGGTGTCGACGAGGGCCTCCCAGAAACCCAAAAAGGGGAAAACGGCCGAAGGGTAGAGGTATGGGTACCTCCTTACGCAGGACGAAAGATTTTCCTCTTGAGGTGAAAATGGCCATGAGGAGTTCGCGAGACAACGTCGGCGCCGCCGAACGGACGGCGACTGCACGAGCTCTTTGCAGCAACCGGGGGGAGAGGGGTGTATGTATTCATGTTGAATGGGGCCGGCTCGCGCGGGGAGTTGATGGGAGTGCGCGAGACGACGCAGGGCCCATCGTGGAAAATTGACTACCGAACCCCCCTCCCCCAAAGAATCTTAACACGGGCGGTTTGCGGGGTCCGCGGGTCCGATTCTTCCGGTCCCCTGTATTAATTCAGTAAGATAAATTTTAAACAAGGTAGACATCGGATCCGCCGTAACAAAAAAAACGGACACGGATCCAGCTAATCCGAAATCGGGTCCGTACGGACGGAAATCGGATCCACCGAAACAAACACCAAAGCCACATTTGGATCCGCGCGAACTTCATGGGATCCGACGGCGGTTATCTCATACAGGTCTGTTCAAGACTTCACACCGTCGTTCCGGGCCCAAGAGGAAAGAACTTTCGTCCTGGGAATGGGCGTTTTGGCCTTCGGACTCGTTGCTTACCCTCTAGCCGACACACAACATTTCACAGGCAGTCCGTTGGGTGAGGAGACGCAGGGCCGAAACGCATGGGCGTTTTGGCCTTCGGAGTCGTTGGTTCCCATCTAGCCGACACACCACACCTCACAGGCAATCCGTTGTTGATAACAAGATAGCCGACACGCCACATCAAGAGGAACAAACTTTCGTCCTGGGGATGGGCGTTTTGGCCTTCGGACTCGTTGGTTACCATATAGCCGACACACCACATCTCGCAGGCAGTCCGTTGTTGGTAACAATATAGCCGACACACCACATCTCACAGGCAGTCCGTTGGGTGAGGAGACGCAGGGCCGAAACGCATGGGCGTGTTGGCCTTCGGACTCGTTGGTTACCACACAGCCGACACACCACATCTCACAGGCAGTCCGTTGCTGGTAACCACACAGCCGACACACCACATCTCACAGGCAGTCCTTTGGGTGAGGAGACGCAGGGCCAAAGCGCACTTGGACGAAAGATTTTCCTCTTGAGGTGAAAGTGGTCATGAGGAAAACGCGAGACAACGTCGGCGCCGCCGAACGGACGGTGACCGGACGAGCTCTTTGCAGCAACCGAGGGGAGAGGGGTGTATGTATTCATGTTGAATGGGGCCCGCTCGCGCGGGGAGTTGATGGGAGTGCGCGAGACGACGCAGGGCCCATCGTGGAAAATTGACTACCGAACCCCCCTCCCCCAGAGAATCTTAACACGGGCGGTTTGCGGGGTCCGCGGATCCGATTTCTTCCGGTCCCCTGCATTAAATTAGTAAGATAAATTTAAACAGGGTAGACATCGGATCCACCGTGAAAATTATCCCGGCAAAGCAACCTAACAGCGATGTGTATAAGCATATCTGGAAGCATTCCCCTTAAGATTCAGGTGAGAATCCAGTTGTAGAATTCTGCTGTTCTCGCAGTCGCAGTCGCAATCGCAATGACAGTCGCAGTGGCAACAGCCTTAGGATCCAATGGAATTCTAAGTCTTCCGAGGGATTCCTAAGGCATCCTTAGGCATCCTTAGGAATCCATAGGCATCTTTAAGAAACCTGAGGAATCCTTAGAAATCCTGATTCCTAGGGATTTCTAAGGATTCCTAAGGATTCCTAGGGAATCCTAAGGACTCCGAAGGATTCGCCTGCCTCGCCCTCAGCCTCAGCCTGCCTCAGCCTAAGCCTGCCTCAGCCTCAGCCTCAGCCTGTCTCAGCCTCAGCCTGCCTCAGCATCAGCCTCAGCATCAGCCTCAGACTCAGCCTCAGCCTGCCTCGGCTTGCCTCGGCCTCAGCCTCAGCCTGCCTCGGCCTCAGCCTCAGCCTCAGCCTGCCTCAGCCTCAGCCTGCCTCAGCCTCAGCCTGCCTCAGCCTCAGCCTGCCTCAGCCTCAGCCTCAGCCTGCCTCAGCCTCAGCCTCAGCCTCAGCCTCAGCCTCAGCCTCAGCCTCAGCCTCAAGCCTCAGCCAGCCTCAGCCTCAGCCTCAGCCTGCCTCAGCCTCAGCCTCAGCCTCAGCCTCAAGCCTCAGCCTCCTGAGCCTCAGCCTCAGCCAGCCTCTCAGCCTCAGCCTGCATCAGCCTCAGCCTCTCCTGCAGCCTCAGCCCTCAGCCTCAGCCTGCCTCAGCCTCCAGCCTCAGCCTCAGCCTCAGCCTCAGCCTGTCTCAGCCTCACTCTCAGCCTGCATGCAGCCTCAGCCTCAGCCTCAGCAGCTGCCTCAGCCTCAGCCTCAGCCTGCCTCAGCCTCAGTCTGCATCAGCCTCAGCCTCAGCCTGCATCAGCCGCAGCTTGCCTCAGCCTCAGCCACTGCCTCAGCCTCAGCCTCAGCATCAGCCTCAGCCTCAGCCTGCCTCGGCTTGCCTCAGCCTCAGCCTCAACCTGCCTCGGCCTCAGCCTCAGCCTGCCTCAGGCCTCAGCCTCAGCCTCAGCCTCAGCCTCAGCCTCAGCCTGCCTCATCAGCCTCAGCCTCAGCCTCAGCCTGCCTCAGCCTCAGCCTCAGCCTGCCTCTCAGCCTCAGCCTGCCTCAGCCTCAGCCTCAGCCTGCCTCAGCCTCAGCCTGCCTCAGCCTCAGCCTCAGCCTCAGCCTCAGCCTGCCTCAGCCTCAGCCTCAGCCTGCCTCAGCTTCAGCCTCGCCTCAGCCTCAGCCTGCCTCGGCCTCAGCCTCAGCCTCAGCCTCAGCCCTCAGCCTCAGCCTGCATCAGCCTCAGCCTCAGCGTGCCTCAGCCGCAGCCTCAGCCTCAGCCACAGCCTCAGCCTCAGCCTGCTTCAGCTTCAGCTTCAGCCTCAGCCTCAGCCTGCCTCAGCCTCAGCCTCAGCCTGCCTCAGCCTCAGTCTGCATCAGCCTCAGCCTCAGCCTGCATCAGCCGCAGCTTGCCTCAGCCT